CACTCCCATTATCTTGACTGTCTTTTATGCTTTGTTCAACCGAAGTTGAATAAGACTCATTGTCTTTTTCATAGGTAAATTTAACTTTTTTTTCCATAGAAATCCACTACCATTAACCCATCATCACCACCGCCGCCAACAATGAACCAAAGACGGTGAATTCTACAACAGTGAATTCAATGAAAGTGTCTTAAAAATACTATAATATTGGACTACCCTTGAGGTTGTAGATCAATATTTTAGTTCTATGAATAATTGCATAATTTTGATCACACTTAGCAATGTACCTTGTAAAACCATAAAGTTATACATCAGCACGGCCAAGTGGCTGTAAGCCTATAAGAATTCTGTCATTTGATCTCTTGTGCCAATGTTCCTCTCAGATGGTTTCAACTTTTATCACTAAAAGGAGCTGATTAAATGATTTTGGTGCAAAACTAGCCACATTGTCATCGCTTCGGTGATTGTATTTGTTAAGAGAGTTTGTATCTCACATCGAATAATTAAAATCACCAAGATTTATTTATATACTTAAGGGGTCAATCCATCCACTTCTAATTGATTTTGGGTTAAATTCTCTATCATGGTATTAGAGTTAGACTTTAAACGGTTAATAGGTCAAGTTTCTAAACCATTTAAATTTTTCGATATGCATGGTTATTAGTTTATTTGTTGACTCCACGTGCGAGCCCGGGTTCCACATGAACGAGGATGTTAAAGAGTTTATATCTCATATTGAGTAAATAAGAATACCAATGATAATTTATATAGTTGAAGGGTAACTCCAAGTTTCCACCAATTATCAATTGATTTTGAAATAGATATTCAATGACACTAGTGGGACGTTATACTGCTTGGCACTTTCGTTTTATTTCTCAGCTTTGGGTTGGACTTCCTGTCCATTTCTGGCCATTCGTTTTTGTACTAAACAACTTTACCCAATACTTTTAAGCCAGATGCTACCATCTCATTTTGTGCAAAGAATGGGAAAATGGCAAATGCTATGGTGCGTGTTACAATTTAAAAGGAAAATGCACTAGACTGATAATTGAACCGAACGGGCTCGAGTCAGATAAAACTCGACTCAAGTTCGGCTCGTGTTTTAAATAAGCTGAGTTTGATCAATTTTTTACACTCGTTTATAAAATGAACTTAAAAAAGTACAACTTGATCTCGCAAAATTTAGTTTGTTTGTGTAAAATAGTCAAACTATTCAGACTCAGGTCATTTTGGGCTCAGTTCAAGCTCGGCTCCATTTCTAAATGAGTCGAATTTGAACAATTTTTTAGGCTCATTTAAAAAAAAAAAAAATCAATTATCAGCCCTAATTGCCACGGTCAGTCTACTGGTTTTTATGATGTGACGACTAACAAGAATTTTAGCATGTTGCACTTGCGGAAAGAAAACCCAAGATGGAAATTAGATGGAGAACCCAAATCAACAGCTTTTGCATTGGAGCAATATCTACGACAAATTTACATATGTTATATATACTCATATGGCAGCACCAATGCAACCAAGTTTTGCATTTTAAAATTGCAGAGTGAAAGAGAGACAATAAAAGCATACCTTCTTTTACATGAAATTTCAATATTCAATTGTTGCTTGTCATCGGGATGCCAATGACCAAAAGTTCAATAAAAATGAGGGTAACGCAGTGAACCAGCTAAGAAACGCCATAGCTGTAGCAGTCTCAAACTCCGTACAGTAATTCTGAGCACAGTTACCAAGATCATTGCCGATAAGAACAGTGATGCCTGCAGAGGCACAGGCTGCGGCAAAAATAAGAGTAGATGTGATCTGCAGTTAAAAAGGCACAATTTAATGAGTTACAAAATAGAAGAAAAAAGGATCAGTGGATCACCAATACGNTATGCCTTCTCTACCATGGATTCTAAATGGTTTCCCGATTCACTCTTTTCTTGTAAAATTGAGGTTAATCTCATACTTTTCAATGTAAATGCGTGTTCATTAAACTCGTTTTTAATGCAAAACTTTACAAAACAAAAGGCATGGATTTATAAACTAGTGAGAATGGTTGAAAATTACAAATTTTGTACCTAATTTGATAACGAGTTTTAGGCATGTATTTTTCACTTTTTAAGGCGGGATTGAATTTTTTTGTCATGGAATCTAAACAGGTTTTGCAAGAATGGCACCTCGCTTTTAGCCAGCCTAACAAGAACTGTTCTACCTAAGGTAAAAAATAGATGCTTGGCAAGCACACGCCAATGCCACTGTAATATAGCTAGAGTCTGAAAGAAAAAGTATATTAACTATATTTTCCCACGAATTTAGCAGAAAGCAGAAAATGTGGTGAACAAAGTAGAGGAAAGAGGACAGAAAAATACAATGATCAAGCATGAATGCTATAGTTTAAGGTCCAATGTCATACGTATTAAATATCATACTCCAGGACTGAAATAAAACAATAAGAAACTCTCTACATGTATTAAGAGTCATGGGAATTGCAATTCACATTCCCCTTTTCGACTGCAGCACTCCAACTCCAAGTAAACTACTCAAAAGAAACTGGAGTGCAAATTGCGTTCTTCAAAATTAAAACCACCTCATGCAAAAAAAAAAAAAGAAAGGTAATTTGGATGTTGTCAGAAAGAATAAAGAAAATGAAATGGTAAAGTAAAAGGCCCGTTACCATTCATACATGTCAAGTATATCTTCCATGGAAAGTAAATCACAAGAAGACTAAACGGACAAGATCAACTTATAAATTATTTACCATGTTTTTTTTTTCTTTTTTGTCAAAAGGCATTTCAATACACATCATTACTAACACGACGAGAATATCAACTAAATCCACCCAAAAAACTCTATATTCCATCACATATCCTCTCACACAGTATGACATATATGAAGTAAAATTGCACTGACCTTTTGGCGTTCACTGCGGAGAACTAGACCCGACAAAGAAAAAGATGGAGAAGTTAGAGCTGTGAAAAAGGCGGGAGAACCAGACCCGACGAAGAAGAAGCGGGAAAAAAAAAAGGGAGGGGTCTGATGCTGATTTAAAGGACCAAAACAACGTCGTTTTGGTAGGGGGAAATAAAAAAAAATTGCAAAAATCACCGTGAAACGCAACTGTTTCATTAAACCGCATGTTATGCGATAACTCCCCAACCGCAGACGAGGCACTCCCATTATCTTGACTGTCTTTTATGCTTTGTTCAACCGAAGTTGAATAAGACTCATTGACTTTTTCATAGGTAAATTTAACTTTTTTTTCCATAGAAATCCACTACCATTAACCCATCATCACCACCGCCGCCAACAATGAACCAAAGACGGTGAATTCTACAACAGTGAATTCAATGAAAGTGTCTTAAAAATACTATAATATTGGACTACCCTTGAGGTTGTAGATCAATATTTTAGTTCTATGAATAATTGCATAATTTTGATCACACTTAGCAATGTACCTTGTAAAACCATAAAGTTATACATCAGCACGGCCAAGTGGCTGTAAGCCTATAAGAATTCTGTCATTTGATCTCTTGTGCCAATGTTCCTCTCAGATGGTTTCAACTTTTATCACTAAAAGGAGCTGATTAAATGATTTTGGTGCAAAACTAGCCACATTGTCATCGCTTCGGTGATTGTATTTGTTAAGAGAGTTTGTATCTCACATCGAATAATTAAAATCACCAAGATTTATTTATATACTTAAGGGGTCAATCCATCCACTTCTAATTAATTTTGGGTTAAATTCTCTATCATGGTATTAGAGTTAGACTTTAAACGGTTAATAGGTCAAGTTTCTAAACCATTTAAATTTTTCGATATGCATGGTTATTAGTTTATTTGTTGACTCCACGTGCGAGCCCGGGTTCCACATGAACGAGGATGTTAAAGAGTTTATATCTCATATTGAGTAAATAAGAATACCAATGATAATTTATATAGTTGAAGGGTAACTCCAAGTCTNTGCAAAACTAGCCACATTGTCATCGCTTCGGTGATTGTATTTGTTAAGAGAGTTTGTATCTCACATCGAATAATTAAAATCACCAAGATTTATTTATATACTTAAGGGGTCAATCCATCCACTTCTAATTAATTTTGGGTTAAATTCTCTATCATGGTATTAGAGTTAGACTTTAAACGGTTAATAGGTCAAGTTTCTAAACCATTTAAATTTTTCGATATGCATGGTTATTAGTTTATTTGTTGACTCCACGTGCGAGCCCGGGTTCCACATGAACAAGGATGTTAAAGAGTTTATATCTCATATTGAGTAAATAAGAATACCAATGATAATTTATATAGTTGAAGGGTAACTCCAAGTCTCCACCAATTATCAATTGATTTTGAAATAGATATTCAATGACACTAGTGGGACGTTATACTGCTTGGCACTTTCGTTTTATTTCTCAGCTTTGGGTTGGACTTCCTGTCCATTTCTGGCCATTCGTTTTTGTACTAAACAACTTTACCCAATACTTTTAAGCCAGATGCTACCATCTCATTTTGTGCAAAGAATGGGAAAATGGCAAATGCTATGGTGCGTGTTAGAATTTAAAAGGAAAATGCACTAGACTGATAATTGAACCGAACGGGCTCGAGTCAGATAAAACTCGACTCAAGTTCGGCTCGTGTTTTAAATAAGCTGAGTTTGATCAATTTTTTACACTCGTTTATAAAATGAACTTAAAAAAGTACNGAACGGGCTCGAGTCAGATAAAACTCGACTCAAGTTCGGCTCGTGTTTTAAATAAGTTGAGTTTGATCAATTTTTTACACTCGTTTATAAAATGAACTTAAAAAAGTTCAACTTGATCTCGCAAAATTTAGTTTGTTTGTGTAAAATAGTCAAACTATTCAGACTCAGGTCATTTTGGGCTCAGTTCAAGCTCGGCTCCATTTCTAAATGAGTCGAATTTGAACAATTTTTTAGGCTCATTTTANATACATATCCACGATGGCTAGCGAAAGGCTCCACAAACTCTGCAAGCCAGCAGCAGCAACAAGGAAGCTGACATGACAGACATTAGCACAACTTTCAGTAACAGGACTAATGTTGGTTGAGCGCGTAAACTAAAAACATACTATTTCACATTTAAGGAACTTAAACTTATAAAATCCGAAACTCAAATGCAGAACATGCATATAAGGAGAGGACTATTGCACCAAAAGGTTGTTTCCATACATCGAAGTTTATAATTTTTTAGGACAAATTATAATGAAATAGAGGGTTGGGGGACTCCCATACAGCTATAATTTGACCCAAAAAATTGTAACTTTCTCCCAGAAAGTCGTAACATTCGGTACCCATAACCCAAAGTCTTACCTCCATATAAGGGGGAATATCAAGCTCGCATACTAGAAAAGAATTTTCCATCTTGGGCTAAAGTTATCTCGTTTACCGACCGACCCCAAACACCCAAAGACAATGACATTATATACTGTAATCAACAAAGGGCACATAAGATCAACAATTTTTTTGTGGGTCAGACACATAAGATCAACAGTGAAAATTGAAATATCAATACAAACAGACATAGACATGGATATGTTTATGTATGCGTGCAGTGAAGTTGTAAACACAGAAATATGCAGAACTAAATTACCAGAAGGCAGTGACAGAAGGGAAGTCACTAGTGGTGGCCATGACAGAAAGAGCTATGACTGCGAACACAAACTGAGAGAAACGCAAGATCAGGCCACCTATAGTGCCAGGCATGCCTTGGACGTCCTTCATCCTCACTCTCGGAACATTCGCACCGTCGGTCAGAGGTTGCGGCGCTTCCACTGGGTGCACCGATGGGTGGCTCACATTCATTTCTGATTCAACAACACCACCTCCGCCGCCGCCAATTTCAACGACCTACCTACCTGAATTTCGTCATAAAAGTGCATAAACGCCACATTTGATCGACGGATCTACTGTTGAATTTGACGATTGATGATCGAAACCCTAGATTTGTGATCGATTTTGTTGATAAGAGTTAGCAGGGCGAAACGCCGTCGTTTAGATCTACAGAGCAACCATGTGGAGGAGGAGGACGATTTGGGAGATCAAACTCACTCTCTGTAGATGCCACAGAAGGGCCCAGCTGTGTGGAAATTGCAATTAAACCCCTATAGTTTGTAGTCAAGTAAAATAGCTCACTTAAAATTATTAGCCACCAAACTACATCAAATTAACTTCTTTGCTTTGATTTTGTTCGAAAGGGCCTTATGATAGATTTGGCAATATTTTTTCGTATGTGGGTATAATAATTGCGTGATAGTTATTATATATATATAATATTTTTCACGTAAATAAATATAACTCGGGCTCTGATTCTCATATGTCGTTTAACATTTTCCTATTTTTTGTCTTACAAGTGAGTTAAATAGATCGTTGAACATAGTTAGAGTTATTAGTCATTAGACAATAAATCAGTCGTAAAAATATGATCACACACCAACCCGGTAATTTTGACTCGTTAGGTTTTTTACTAAAAAATCAAGGTCGCAAGTCTCTTTTTTTAGTAAAATTAAGGCATAAGCTTTATCAACTCGAAAATAAGAATTTGATCCCTATATATCAACTCTCATATATTATCTTACGTGATACAATAATATCAACACTATACCTTAAAAAGCCAATATTCAAGGGGGAAGTTAGGATCAAATGTCACTACCATGCATATAGCCATGGTTTGAGTATGATTCTTGGTCCTCCCTTAAACGTTGAATGAAACAATAAATGTCCTACCAAGAATGAGGAAAATAACGACTATTTTGGATAACCAAATAACTCAAACCGAATTTAATAAGTCGTATATTTAATGTTAAGTCAAAATTTTATGTCAAATATTCAAATTCAAACTCGAATGCTTTTCTTTTCTTTTATTTTTAACCCAACTAGACTTTAACTTAGTTGTCTAAATCCTTTAAAAATTCTTTAAGGAAAATGAATCAATCTTTACCAAATACAATCTATCTATCTGGCTATATGATGATGCATGAATCCGAAATGTGAGATGTGTACTCGAACTAAAGGAGTTCAAGGCTTAAAAACAGTAGTATGTGAATGAATAGTATATAACCAAATGATTTAAGGTTGATCCTACTGGCTCTGTAAGTTGCTACCGTAGATGCATAACAAAGGTAAGAGTTACAGAACAAATACAAACACAAAGATTATAGTGGTTTATCAGGTGAGAAAATTTGACTAATCTACTATAATAGAGTTTGTAACTCTTTTGAGAGTTTTCTATTGCTTGGAGAAAGAGATANCACCCCCCACAAAAATGATTTCTAGTCCTCACTTGCACCGAAAACACGGCACTCCAGGTAATCATTTTACTGGTATTTATCCAGGATTAGTGTGACATAAAAGTAAACATAACACTCACATAAGTTAAAATAATCCAGTCTTTGCAAGAATAGAAGCAGCAACTCCATGTAATCAGTTTCCTGAGACTTATCCAGAATTAATGTGACAATAAAGGATACCAGCAGCAACTATCTAACCCTATCACCATCAGTGAATAAACTAACAACTCTATAATATAACTAATGGGACACTAAAGGAAGCATAGGGCTCGCATATGTTAACATCAATCAATTTTCGAAAGAATACCAAAAGGAGCCATCTTACCCCATCACCAACAGTGAATAAAGTAACAACTCCATAATTCTCCAAGGAACCATAGCNAAAAAAAAAAAAATCAATTATCAGCCCTAATTGCCACGGTCAGTCTACTGGTTTTTATGATGTGACGACTAACAAGAATTTTAGCATGTTGCACTTGCGGAAAGAAAACCCAAGATGGAAATTAGATGGAGAACCCAAATCAACAGCTTTTGCATTGGAGCAATATCTACGACAAATTTACATATGTTATATATACTCATATGGCAGCACCAATGCAACCAAGTTTTGCATTTTAAAATTGCAGAGTGAAAGAGAGACAATAAAAGCATACCTTCTTTTACATGAAATTTCAATATTCAATTGTTGCTTGTCATCGGGATGCCAATGACCAAAAGTTCAATAAAAATGAGGGTAACGCAGTGAACCAGCTAAGAAACGCCATAGCTGTAGCAGTCTCAAACTCCGTACAGTAATTCTGAGCACAGTTACCAAGATCATTGCCGACAAGAACAGTGATGCCTGCAGAGGCACAGGCTGCGGCAAAAATAAGAGTAGATGTGATCTGCAGTTTAAAAGGCACAATTTAATGAGTTACAAAATAGAAGAAAAAAGGATCAGTGGATCACCAATATGATGCAGAATATTATATCATAAGTTACTGCTCAAAAGCTGAATGGGGAAAGAAGGGAAATGCTTCCCAGGTTCCCCGGTAAGTCATGTTGATGTAAACCCACAAGCTCAAGTTTGCATCTCCCAATTAGTTTGAACGCTATTTTCATCCCCCATTCTCATTTGTCCATCAAAATGAAAGGAAAGGGAAGACAGGCAGCAAGAAAGAAGAAGAGCAGAAACAATGTAAAGACTTATTATTGGAATGTCAAGCATGCAAATAAAGTGGTGGGCGTTCTCATTCTCAGTACTAAATGCATGAAAACCAATCAACATCTAAATAATGAATTTTATTTCCAGATCATATTTGTCTTTCTAAGTTGAAAGAAAATCATGGAGAGGTTTTCTCCTATTTGTGGAACTTCAAAATTTGCATTACCCGTTAGGAACAATTCTTCCTCTAACTAACTATTAAGTTTATACTTATTACACTTATCACTTTTCCATCACGGAGTTCCGAAACTAGCAAATTATTCATGCCAAACATTCAGACAAATCACGAAGAGAATCCGAGAAAATAACTCACTTAAACTCGATACCAAGATTAATATCCTGCATGGTAGTTTGATCAAAAGAATATGACCGTTTAGCCTCTTTCTAATGATCAGAAATTAAACAAACATTTTACTTCACATGTCAAACAAAACTTGAACCCCTGCCTGCTTTTGAGTAATTTGCAGAACAGATCCACTGATTAGCTGTAAGTTCTTTGATAGTTTGCAGTCCACTAGGAATCGACAACAGCATATAAAGATGAATTGTTGAATCACTGGCAGCAGCAGACTTGAAATGAAAATCAGAAATTTTTTTCTGCGAAGGATATTATGCCTAAGGATCTATTGGACTTCAAATACCCAAACCCCC